AGTTCCCCAATTATTAATAGCGCTGAAAATGGTCAATGACTCGGCCCTTGTTTGACACTCATTTTGAAAAAGAATTTAATTTGGAATAGTGATTGGTGGAAGAATGTGTGGTTAAAAAGTAAGTTGAATTTTTTAATTTATGTGTAATATTATTTTATTGATAAAATGTATGGTTGAAATGAAAAAAGAAAAAATGAGAATGAGAAAAAAATGGATGTCAACAATGGCTCAATATCAACAAAAATTACAGAACATAAGTTTAAATTAATAAACAATAAAGTACTAATGAACCACACCATTGAACTAGCAACATGAACACTTGATCAACAAAATACAGCTAAATGATACAGATAAGAATGCTACAAGCGAGAGTAGGGCCGATTTTCACTTATCGTAATAAATTGAACAGTGAGAAGAAGAACATTGACCAGGTTCGGCTGATAGACGGCGGACGGCGTCGACGGTAAAGGGTTTCGATAATGGGCAGAAGAAATTAAGCAAACAGTGCACAGGGTAACCGGTAAAGGGTTTGGGAATTGAGTTTAATTTTATATAAATAGCAAATTGGGTTTCCAATTTTTCAAATGGACTTGAACAATGGGCTACTGGGTTGGACAGTGGAAAAAAAAAAAAAGGCTATAACCATTTTTTTTTTTATTGAACCTGGACTTAGACAATGGTGGGCTACAGCCCACCCCTCTCTACGCCCCTGGTGGGCCCCACAATTTTATAGAGCATGTTTGGGAGCTATCAATTCCACATTTTAATAAAAAAATATAAACGTTGCAACTATTCGGTTAACAGTGATCCAGCCGCAATATTTGAAAAAAAAATGGCAACAGTCATTTTCTATTTTGGAATATCAAAATTGTCTTGCTTATAAATATTGAATGCAACATATTAGGGGCACCATGGTCTTTTCGTGAAAATTTTTAATTGACTACAGATAAAACAGTCAAACATGACTGCCAAAGTGGGGCCCGTTGACTGTATAATGATAGAATTCTTAATCATAGTTTTGGAAGAAGGGAGTCCAAACAGGGGCATAATACAATTATATATTTCAATAGAAGCTCCAGGATACTGCCCGAAGAAAGGGAACAAGAATTTTTTTTATTTTTTTTATTTTTAGCTCTTTGAAAAAATTGAGAAAGTGTGGGAGTGCTACAGAAATTTCCAATTCACACGTGTTGTGCATCGTATGAGACAGGATAATAATTATTCGGTGTTTGGTGAGAATTAAAATTAGATTTTAAGTGGATTGTGATATAAATTTTTGAAATGTGTGGTTGAAGAGATGTGAGACCCATGAAAGATGTGGTTAATATTAATTGTTTGACTTTGATTTAGATTAAAATTAGATTTTAATTCGGTCCAAACAGATCCTTTCAAATCATCGTTCAACATTTGCTACAATTTATATTCAGATTAAATTAATCCAAAGTTTTTATCCTCCTTTATTCAACTAATAAACTTTAGAAGCATTTTCTTAAAATTAATATCTATCATTTTAAATTAAATCTATTTGAAATGAAATATGTGTATTTACTTAAGAGTAAATAAGAATTAAAAATTTCACTTATAAGTAAAAATTAATTTATAAATTAAGAATTTAGTTATAATAAAAAATCAAATATAAGTAAAATAAAAATTCAACTATAAGTAAAAAATAATTATATCTACAAAAATGCATATTGGTGAAAAAAAAAACTTACAACTAAGCAATTAATTTATATCCTTCAAAAAATTTGTTCATAATTAAAATATTTACATATAAGTTAAAAAGTTACTTATGTGTAAAAATTCTTATTTTTAGTTATAAAAATTACTAATAAGAAGAAAAATCATTTAAATAAAACTCACTTTAAAAGTAAAAAAAATTACTCATGAGTTAAAAATAAATTTTTTTTATAAGTAAAAGAGGTGCTCTGGTCAACTCGGAGGGGACTCCTTCTGAGCAGGAGCATCGAAGCAATAATTTCCTGTGTTAGATTGTATAGATAAATCGATTATCGAATTTTTAGTTTGAAAGATGCATTTTAAAATACATTGTGAGTACTCTGAAGCAGTGTTCTAAAAAATTCGCATAGGCAATTCCTAGGCGGTGAAGGAGCAGTGAAGCAATAATTTCACGTGTTAGACTATATTTAAATTGTTTATCGAATTTTTAGTTTGAAAGATACATTTTGAAGTACGCCGTGAGTATTTTGAAGCAGTGTTCTAAAATGTTCGTTACTTCATCTAGATGGCGTCTAGATGGCGCCTAAGCTCAAAACTCAGCCAAAACATCTCGTTTAGTGTCTAGACGCTTTTTTTTTCCAATTCCTAAATGGTTGAATTTTTTATGTTCCCTCTTTCGTCTTTCCTAAGTGCGCTTTAATGGTAGGAATTATTAAGTAAATATAGTATTTTATAATTTTAAATGTTTGATATGTATAATTTTAAT